GTTAGGTAGTCATTTTCAAAATCATTGCTCCTGCATGCTGCATAGTATTCCATCATGTGGATGTATCATAATTTCTCAATCTATTGAGTTGAGGTTGGACATTAGAGCTATTTCAATGTTCTTGTGATGGTGAAAAACACCACTCTGAATGTTGGTGTACAAATCTCTGTTTGTCACTAAGTTCTCATTTTCTTGGAGTATATCCCAGGCAGTGGAATAACTAGATCATAGGGGATTTCTATGTTTAGCTTTTTAAAAAAATTTTTTTAATGATTAATTTCAATGAGAATTTACAGAGACTTTGGATTTCCATTCATTCACTGTTGCACTTTTCTCCCCTCTCAACCCTCCCCCCCAGTACACTTCACTCTTGGAAAAGTAAAAGAAAAATTCTTTCATTGTTTTACAATCCCTCCCCCCAGGTCCACTCCATTATGCAGCCTTCTCTCTGGACTCCCGTCATGACAAAAATACCTAATCACATATCCCTTTTAAACAGTTTTCTCCTTGATCTGTTTCAATGCAGTATACATTATTTAACCCATCTTTGTCAGTCTCCCCCCAGCCCCGATGTCAGTCCTGTTTTACAACAGTGGTACCATGCAATATTTGTCCTTTTGTGACTGATATACTTCACCCAGCATAATGTCCTCCAGGGTCACCCATTTTGAATAATATTGCATGAGTTCCTTGTTTTTCAATGCAGCGTAGTATTCTGTGGTGTGAGTGACTATACCACAGCTTTTCTATCCATTCATTTGTTGATGGGCACTTACGTTATTTCCAACTCCTTGCTATTGTGAACAAAGCCGTGATAAACATGAGTGTGCATATGTCTGCTTGGGTGGCAGTTATGGTTTCTTTGGGATATATTCCCAGTAGTGGAATTGCTGGGTCAAATAGTATCTCTATTTGCAACTGTTTGAGAAAGCGCCATACCGCCTTCCACAGCGGTTGCACCATTTTACACTTCCACCAACGGTGAATAAGGAAGGGTTCCAGTTTCTCCACAACCTTGCCAGCATTTGTTGTTTGCTGTTCTGTTAAATTTTGCTATTCTTACTTGGGTGAGATGATATCTCATAGTTGTTTTGATATGTTTAGCTTTTTGAGGAAATGCCCAACTGCCTTCCAGAAAGGTTGTACATTTTACAATCCCACCAACAGTGTATAAGAGTTCCTATCTCTCCACATCCTCTCCATTTATTACTGGGATAAGATGGTATTTCATTGTGGTTTTGATTTGCATCTCTTATTGCCAGTAATTTTGAACATTTCTTCATGTGTCTGTTGACCATCTGAATCTCTTCCTCTGTGAAAAGTCTTTCTGTGTCTTTTGCCCATTTTGTAATTGGGGAAAAAATCCATCTTTTTCCTATAGGAGGCCCTATAGGATTCCGTAAAATTTTATATATGAGATCCTTGTCTGAAATGGTATTGCCAAATGTTTTTTTCCTAGTCAATAGGTTTTCTTTTCGCTCTGTTGGAAATGTTTTTGATGCTCACAGGGATTTAATCTTTAGAAAGTCCCATTCATCAATTTTTATCCTCTCCAGATTGTGCATTTCTGGTTCTATTTGGCAATCTCTTTATAACATAGAGTAGGCTGTCTAAGCTTGATCCCAGTTTGTCTCTTATGAACTTTATGGTTTGGGGCTTTACTCCGTGGTCTCTGATCCACCTTGAATTGATTTTTGTGTATAATGTGAGATGTGGATCCTGCTTCACCTTTCTGCAGGTTGCAGTTCAGTTTTGCCAGCGCCATTTGTTGAAGAGGTTGTAATTTCCCCATTTGATACATTTTATTTCCTCGTCTAATATCAGTTGATCATAGATGGGTGGATCGATTTCTGGGTTCCCAATATTGTTCCATTGGTCTATGTGCCTGTCGTTGTACCAGTACCATGTAGTTTTGATTACTACTGCTGTGTAGTAGGTTTTGAGGTTAGGGAGTGCTATCCCTCCAACTTTATTTTTGTTCTTCAGAAATGCTTTGCTTATTCAGGGTCTCTTGCATCTCCAAATAAACTTGACAATTTCCCTTCCTATCTCCTTGGAAAATGAATTTGGTATCTGTATTGGAAGAGAAAATTCTTGAATGATCCAGGAAGCATCAAAGAAGATGGAGGGAATACACAGAGTCACTGTACAAGAATTGCTCTACACTGAAATATTTCAAGAAGTTCTATATGATCAAGAGCCAATGATGATGAAAGAAGAATTTCTTGCTGTACTGAAGACATTGGGAAAAAAATATTAAGGTTCCAGGAATCAGTGGAATACCAACTGACATGTTCCAACTAAAGATGTACTCACCACTCTGTGCCACAAAATTTGGAAGACCACTACCCGGCCAGCTGGCTGGGAGAGATCCGTATTGATGTCAATTCTCAAGAAAGGTGATTCAACAGAATGTGAAAACTATTGGACAATATCATTAATATCACATGTAAGCAAAATATTGCTGAAGAGCATTTAAAAATGGCTAGAATAGTACATCAACAGAGAACTGTCAGAAGTTCAGGCTGGGTTTAGAAGAGGCTGTTGTTGAGAATTGTCAAGTTGGACTGCCCCATACCTGACTCTCCAGCAGTTTTATCAGAGTTAGTAAATCATATGGAAGGAGATTACTTTTCTTTCTCCCATGGAGTAGCTGGTGGATTTCAACCACATACCTTTGAGTCGGCAGTGCAGTTCCTTAATACTAAGCCACCAGAACTCCTAGTTGAGGCTGGGGCACCAGGAATATCATTGCTGAGGTCATATGGAGCTTGGCTGAAAACAGAGAATACCAGAATGTCTATTTGTCTTTTATTGACTATGCAAAAACATTTGACTGTATCATAACAAACTATGACTGACATTGAGAAGAATGGGAATTCCAGAACACTAAATTATGGTTTTCGTTGTTGTTGATTGCCTTCGAGTCAAACATGACTCATGTTGATTGCCTTCAAGCTGAACACGACTCATAGTGACCCTATAAACAAAAGTACTGAAGCCCCTCTACAGCTATCGACATTTATCAAAGTTCTGGAGGCATGTTATTTAGGAAGTGGATGTCACTCCTGATTTAAAAAAATTATGCTTAGAAAACCCTATATCTAGACCAAGAAACTGCTGTCCAAACAGAGCAAGGGAACGCTGAATGGTTTGGAATCAGGAAAGATGTGCATCAGGACTGTATGCCTTCTCCATACCTATTTATTCTGTATGCTGAGCATGTCATTTGAGAAGCTGGACTTTATGAAGAAAAGCGTGGTATCAGGTTGGAGAAACACTCATCAACAACCTGTAGTTATGAAGACAGCACAACCTTTCTGGCTGAAAATGAGGAGGACTTGAGATGCTTGCTGCAGACTAGCAAGGATTGCAGCCTTCAATGTACATTACATCTCAATATCAGAAACACTAAAATCCTCATTACTGGGCCAGTGGGCAACATCATGGTAGTTGGAGAGAAGATTGAAACTGTCAACAGTTTCATCTTGTTTGTATCCACAGCCAACTCTCTTAGTACTAATAGTCAGGAGATCAAGAGATATATAACATTGGGAAAGTCAGCTGTCAGAGACCTCTCCAAAGCATTGATGTCAGTTTAAAGACTTAGGTGCACCTGATATAAGCCACATATTTTCCAATCACCTGCTATGCATTTGAGAATTGGACAATGAAAAAGGATGACAAGAGAGGAGTTGATGCCCTTTCATTGTGATGTTGGAGAAGAGTACTGAATATCTTGGACAAAGTGCAGCCAGAGTACTCCTTGGAGGCAAGGATGGTGAAGAACATGTTGCTAGGGGCAGCTATTCCTTGCAAAGGGACATCCTACTTGGAAAGGTGGAGGTCAGTGAAGGAGAGGAAGATCCTCAATGAGGTGGATTGATACAGTGCAGCCATGGGCTCAAGTGTGTCAGAGATAATGAGAATGGCACAAGATAAGACAGGTTTCAGATCTGTTGTTTATAGAGTCGCTATGTGTTGAATTCAACCACATTTAACAAGAGCAACAATTGTGGTCACCCCTTTCAAGATGGTTACCAGTGGAGTCGTGCACCATCCAGTTCTTCTGGCCTCAAGGTCATGGAGATTGGGTTTCACTGATCCATTCAGCCTTTGCACTAATTGTTTCCAGTAGTCTTTACCTTTCTTTGCTCCACTTGAGGATGCAAATTTTAGGATGTAACATTTTTAAGAGTAGTTGTTATGTGCCGTCGAGTCACTTGTGACTTATAGCAACCCTATGTACAACAGCCCTAAACTCTGCTCTGTCCTGTGCCAATTGCACTGTTTCCGAAACACCCATCCTAATCGCTCCAGTCACTGAATCAGTCCACCTCATAGAGGGCCTTCCCCTCCTGTGCTGTCCCTCCACCCTCCCAAGCATGATGTCCCTCTCCAAGGACCAGTCCCTCCTTACAACATGTCCAAAGTATGTTAGACGGAGCCTCAGAATCCTTGCCTCCAAGGAGCCCCCTGTTTTAACCCTTTCCAGGATGAATCTGTTTGTTTTTCTAGCAGTCCATGGTACCCTCAATACTCTTCTCCAGCACCACAGCTCAAAGGCATCAATTCTCCTTCTATCCTCCTTAGTCATTGTCCAGCTCTCTGGTGCATAACAAGTGATTGCAAAGACCATGACCTGTATCAGACGCACCTTAGTCTCCAGAAAGACACCATTGCTCTTTAGTACTTTGGAGAGGTCCCTAACCGCCGACTTTCCCATCGCAATACATCTTTTAATTTTCTGGCTACTGGTGCTGAGAGTGTTGACTGTGAAGCCAAGCAAACTAAAGCTGTGAACAATCTCAATCTCTTCACCGTAGATGAACAGATTTTCCCCCTGCTGGGCTGTTGGGTGGGTTTGAACCTCTAACCTTTGGTTTTGCAGCCAGGCTCTTAGCCATGGCGCCCCCAGGGCTCCCTTCCACAGTTCGAGTCCCACTTATCATGTCTTTGTTCACAGCCCTCAGTGCTGCATCTCCACGTCCAGTTTCGCCATGGCTCTCTACATTGATCACCTTATTGAAGCCCCCTGTTCCACTGGCTCATTTTCCCACATGGCCTGGCATCCCATCCACCCCTTCCTGGCAGTGGCTGCCCTCAGCCCCACCACAGGGGGCAGTGTAGACATTTATCTAGAGCAGGTGAGTATTCAGCCTCTGTTGTCAGTCGAGTAGGGTCATCATCTTAGGTGGAGTATGTAGGTGTGTAGTGTGGTCTTTTGGGCAGATAGGTATTTGCATGATGTGTCTGGTATATGTATGTGTGGTATAGCGTATGTGGTGTGAAGAATGTGTGTGGTGTGGTGGTTGCGGGTGTGTTTAGTATGTGGTGGTGTGGGAGATGTGTGTGTTGAGTGTTTGGCATATATGTATGTGCGGTACAGAGTGTGTGTAATGTAGTACTCGGTGTGTGTATGGGGTGTGTGTGTGGTGAGTCTAGGATATATGTATGTGGGAGTATGTGTGTTGTGTGGTGGGGAGAGGTTAGTGTCTGTATGGTGTCTCTGGTATATGTATGTTGTGTGTAGTGTGGTGATGTGGATGGTGCATGTCATGTGTTGTGGTGGGTGTGTTTCTAGTGTGGTATATGTGGTATATATATAATGTTGTTGTTGTTTGGTGCCGTCGAGTCGTAGACGACTCATGCGACCCTATGAATGAACGAACAGCCTGAGCACTGTTCGTACATAGAGTTTCCGGAGGCAAGCCATTTTGGAAGTGGATGGCGCTCCTGCTTCCAGGTTTGTTTTAGTCGGGAAGCTCCAGCCAACACTGTCCACCGTGGGTACCCATTACCACGATTGGCACATCACTGTCACAGTCTTCAGCATCACAGCAACCACAAGTTTCCTCTGTACAGCAACGCACAGACCAGTGCTATACCACCTAGAAGAATGTTTGACAATAAAACAATTTGAACCTGGCTGAGGGCTGTAGATGAAAATCACCCACCTTCGGCTTGGTAGCATAACTTCCTTTCCACTAGACCAACATAGCTCTCTCTGTCGTTGTTGTTGTCATTGTTGTTTGGTGCCGTTGAGTTGTAGACGATTCATAGCGACCCTATGAATGCCTTCCCCCTCATAACACCGTGTTGTTGTTGTTGTTGTTGTTAAGTGTTGAAGAGTCATAGATTAACCATGGGGACCCTATGAACAAAAGTCTTACACAAAACTTTCATCTTCTGCAAAGTCACAGTTTCTGGAGGCAAGCTTTTTTTTTGGAAGTGGATGCTACTCCTGCTTTCAAGCCTGTTTTATTATGTAATATATAATAATTAAATATATATCACTATATTACGTGTGTGTGTGTGTGTGTGTGTGTGTG